AGGCGTGTTCGAAACCGCAGGAGATGATGATGAACGGGTTTATCGAAACTTGATTGGATGAGCATATCGGTAATAGCGATTTCAGTGTGCGCATTTATTGTTCATAGTGGTGTGAAATGTGGTTGGGGTACGACCGACAACCCGTCGGGGCGAATTTCGCACTGGGGTACTCAAAATTTGAAGAATTTAATAAGACGTTTCCATGAGTTTTGAAGGTATGGATGAGTTCTAAAAATCCGGTTCTCCTTATCTGGGCCATTAACTCCATACGGTCCAGGAAAGCTGGCACACTACCTTTAATTCAACTCAAGATTCCCAGATTGGTAATATTACTAAGTGCTCGAGCGAGGAACATATTGAATATAATTAGATAAATAAAAGAAGTTGACCTTTTCCTCGACATCAAAAATTTGTAAAGCCGAATAATATATTTTAAAAAACGGTGAGCTTTCGGCCACTGGCCTTTATCAAACCAACGTGATAACAATGTTAAAAGACGATCCTGTGAATAATCTGTCTGCCATTTTTCAAAAACCGAAGATCGTGATATTTTAGGAAAGGCGCTACTCATAAGGGCAAACTATTAGATCGATTGTCTACATAGTGTCCGATGTACGTAACATACATAATATACAATTGTACACGTAGCTGTCAAACACACATCGTATGGAAGGTATGTACACTAACGCCGATGTACATCACACACATAACAAAATAATATACACATACACATATTAATCGATAGAGTTGAAAAGGCTACACGCTCACAAGATACACATGATACAGGCGCTTACATGATTGGCCACGACGAAAGATTTGAGTTTATGTGCGGGCGGTTTGCTTTTATAAGTAGGGATTCTGCGATTTTTCTGTCCGGGTGGTCTTTGGAGCGATAAAGGACGCGAACCTGAAGAGGAAGGGATGATTTGTTTAGCGGCGCGCCGGGGTGGTGCTCACGGAAGTGGTCTCCCATCGGGGTCCCTTCGGATGCGCTCAAGGCGTCTCGTAAATGTTCGTTAAATCTTAGTCGAACAGGTCGTTTTGTCTCGCCAATATATGTGCCGTCGTCACCCTTTCCTTCACACAACTTACAATTTAGCCTGTAGACGACGTTCTTCTGTGTACAATCACCTGAAAAATCTGATTTACACATGTTGCATCGTGGGCCTCCAGGGCAGATAGGTTTAGATAGTGATGATCTAACCAGTTTGTTTCGTAGCTTTTGGGGGTTCCTCCATGCTATCCTGACAGCTAAGCCAGATTTCCTAACTTTACTTTGAATTTTGCATAGCAGTTCTTCATCTATGTACGGTAAACATAAGAAGCCATCTTCGCCCTTGTCTCGACTAACTTTACCCATCCTGGATCTGGACCCTTGCTGTTTGACCTCCCACAAGAGCCTTCTAAGAACTTTCTCTGGGTACCCATTTTGAACCAACAATGTCCAAATCTTGTCTATACTCGCCCTCTCTTTAGCACTGCTCGAAGAGTTCCTGATCGCTCGCCGAAACTGACTACGGACTATGTTTTGTTTAGTAGACTTCGGGTGGGCTGATTTATAGTGCAGGATGATCCCTGAGTTCGTAGGTTTTATGTAAAGTTCCGTTTCAATCTTCGTAACCTGGCCCTGGGTCACTACTGTCACTAAGGTATCTAAGAAGGCCACACCCGACTTTGTACCGGAATGCTCCATGGTAAAGCGGAGTGTCGGATGAAGCGAGTTTAAATGCGACAGAAAATCTACTAAAGCCTGCTCTCCATAGGTCCACACGCCTGCGTAATACCTTAGGCCTTCTTAGGCCTTCTTAGATACCTTAGTGACAGTAGTGACCCAGGGCCAGGTTACGAAGATTGAAACGGAACTTTACATAAAACCTACGAACTCAGGGATCATCCTGCACTATAAATCAGCCCACCCGAAGTCTACTAAACAAAACATAGTCCGTAGTCAGTTTCGGCGAGCGATCAGGAACTCTTCGAGCAGTGCTAAAGAGAGGGCGAGTATAGACAAGATTTGGACATTGTTGGTTCAAAATGGGTACCCAGAGAAAGTTCTTAGAAGGCTCTTGTGGGAGGTCAAACAGCAAGGGTCCAGATCCAGGATGGGTAAAGTTAGTCGAGACAAGGGCGAAGATGGCTTCTTATGTTTACCGTACATAGATGAAGAACTGCTATGCAAAATTCAAAGTAAAGTTAGGAAATCTGGCTTAGCTGTCAGGATAGCATGGAGGAACCCCCAAAAGCTACGAAACAAACTGGTTAGATCATCACTATCTAAACCTATCTGCCCTGGAGGCCCACGATGCAACATGTGTAAATCAGATTTTTCAGGTGATTGTACACAGAAGAACGTCGTCTACAGGCTAAATTGTAAGTTGTGTGAAGGAAAGGGTGACGACGGCACATATATTGGCGAGACAAAACGACCTGTTCGACTAAGATTTAACGAACATTTACGAGACGCCTTGAGCGCATCCGAAGGGACCCCGATGGGAGACCACTTCCGTGAGCACCACCCCGGCGCGCCGCTAAACAAATCATCCCTTCCTCTTCAGGTTCGCGTCCTTTATCGCTCCAAAGACCACCCGGACAGAAAAATCGCAGAATCCCTACTTATAAAAGCAAACCGCCCGCACATAAACTCAAATCTTTCGTCGTGGCCAATCATGTAAGCGCCTGTATCATGTGTATCTTGTGAGCGTGTAGCCTTTTCAACTCTATCGATTAATATGTGTATGTGTATATTATTTTGTTATGTGTGTGATGTACATCGGCGTTAGTGTACATACCTTCCATACGATGTGTGTTTGACAGCTACGTGTACAATTGTATATTATGTATGTTACGTACATCGGACACTATGTAGACAATCGATCTAATAGTTTGCCCTTATGAGTAGCGCCTTTCCTAAAATATCACGATCTTCGGTTTTTGAAAAATGGCAGACAGATTATTCACAGGATCGTCTTTTAACATTGTTATCACGTTGGTTTGATAAAGGCCAGTGGCCGAAAGCTCACCGTTTTTTAAAATATATTATTCGGCTTTACAGATTTTTGATGTCGAGGAAAAGGTCAACTTCTTTTATTTATCTAATTATATTCAAGATTCCCAGCTTGAAAATGATGGTATAGTGTTATAATTTAGCATACCAATGCGCAAAGAAATGACGCAAACTTGATGAAAATTTTGGCTCGTTATTTGTACTCGTATTTGATATAAAGGCCCCCAAAGTTCGGAACGTTATTTCTGGGCCACCCGGTAGATGTCGCCCGTGAGTCTTGGAAACTGAGGTGCCGCTTGGAAAGAAGAAACACGCTATCGTTGCCATGGCGACAAAACATTTGCGTTCTTTATATCGCGCCGGCGTGATCAGCAGCTTTTCCACCAATCCGAAGCGTCGACAAATGGGGTTCTTTTGCAGGATTTGCACAAAATGCGGTAAATTACAGCATGGGGTCGTTTGGGTTGGTGAGACTGGATTATTTGCTTGGGGTTATTTCGGTGCGGTAACTTACCGCTACCCCAAACGAGTTTACCGCACTTGGTGAGATTGGGCCCAGGAGGGTGTCGAACAGGCCTCCTACCCTCAGTTTTTCGCAAATAACTCTCGCAAAAAGCGCTGATTACGACGAAACTTTCAGTACCCTCGAGTCAATCAATATTACGCCTACCCTATAATTTGTATGACCCTGACCTTTGAGACCTTTGACCTTTGACTTGTCACCTGTTTTCCGAGACCATGTTTGGCCGGAATCGCGTTTTGGCGTATTTCGAGTAGAGCGCGTTTTATTATCTTTTTGTGACTTTAAGCGATCAAACATGTGAAAGGATGTTGATCCCATGGATTCTAGTGGGTATCAAGGTCACGTGAAGGTCAGTCAGGTCACTGACCTTTGATGAACTTCGTTCACTCTTTCGAGTTTTACATGTTTCAAGGGTAGATTTTGGAGTTGATTTCGCATTTAGAAACCGTTTGAACATTTAAGAAGTAGTTTTGGTTCCCTCGTAACATGTGACCTGACCTGACATGACCCGACCTGGCCTAAATGCACGAAAACATCATCTGTGATCAAAACTAACTTGAATTTCGTGATCAGCACCCCGCAAAACCCTATAACAGCTTCACTTTACGAAGCTCTAACAGGTCCCGATTCCCCTACTTTTGAGCTACATCGACCTGTCAACCAATGACCTAGGACCTTAAAATTGGGTATCATCGGCCTCCTCTCGTCACGGGCAACACGCTCTTTTTCCGCGAAGCTCTAGCTCGATCAGGGGCTGAACGGCAAAGGGGTCCAACGGACCCTCCTTCCCCTTTACGATAGACGCTGGCAAAACACCAATATGGGCGAGGGTGAAAATACAGCTGCTGTCATAAAAATTCAGCTTGAATCAAAGGTCAGGCTTGCAAAATTTCAGCTATCGCAGCTATCAACAAAAATAAACATGTGGAGGCGGCACCCGCCTCCCCGCCCCCCCTCTCCTCTCGGCCACTGCCAGCGAGGTTTTAAGCGTATCATACACGTTACAAAGCATCATATCAAGAGGACACGCCCCACCAGTCATATGCACTGAACACAAACTTATTACCCACGCTAGTGTATCGGCACCATAGCACATGGTCGAGCCTGTCCTCAGCCACGGACTCGCACTCGACCAACCCTCTGAGCCCGTTGACTGCGGGTGACCTTGACATGTCAAGCCTGATCGGCGGCCGGCCGCTGTCGTGCGGTCGTTACACACGGAGGGGAGGGAGACACAAAGCTCTCCGTTATAGCTGACCTCTGACCTTTCCCTGCGCCCTGGTCACTGACCCCGCTCCATGTCGCTGGGCGGTGGCATGGCAGTGGAAACCGGTTTTAGCCTCTACACATGCCAACATTCTAACCCTCCCCTCCCCACGCTACTACGCGGCGTGGAGTACGCTCGTGCGTAACTGGGCGGAGCAAGGGATCACGCGATACAGGGGCGGAACTGGTTGCCCTCCCGCTCGCCGAGCGACCAACGACTAATGCCCTGGAGAACCGTACATGGTGTATATCCTGTCATCACTGTGTGGACTCCAGGGATTCAGGATATACTCCTGATGCCTCCCATCTTCTCCAAGCGCTCGATGGAAGGCTTGGTTTGTTCTGTGTCCGTCAGTTGTAACGGACACTACACGGTACCCAAGATGGGTGAGATATCGCAGGACTTGGAAGATTCTCTTCATTTCTTGGGTTGTGACGTGGGTGACTGGCGACGTGGTTACCAAGTCCTCGTAGTTCCCGGCAACCGACGAAATGTGGGTGCAGAACAAGGTACTGGCGACAGCTGTTGCTTCTCCGCTGCTCTCCCCATGCAGTCTTCCTCCCGCCAGATCGAGTGCTGTGGCACAGTAAACCTCGTCCATGGCCAGATTTACCAGCCGTTCTCTTGGAGACAACTTGGCGACCCGCATCTCCAAATACTTGATGGTCCCGATCTCCAGTCCCTCTTGCACGCTTAGTGCTGACGTAAGTCTCCGGAGAGTGACTCTGTGTGGCAGGACCAGAAGACCCGAGCTGCGCATGTCTTCATACAGTCGGGGACTCGTTCGGCTCCACACCACTGCAGTGGACATGAGTGTCGTGCTGTACCTCCTCCTTTTTGCTGGACTGAGTCGGAGTTGCAGCTGTTCAGCGGCGAACTCCCCAAAAGTACCGCATGATCCAGCTGCATCGTCCGTGCTGATTTTCTGCAGAAAATGCAGTGCAGTCATCACGTTGCCATCTTTCAAAGACTGTGCCTTGAGGAACGCCAGCACGTTCAGGACCTCAGTCGTCGTTTCGAAGCTCCCGGGAACGCTTGTCAGATCAGCTGCCCTGAGAGTAGGCAACTCGCTCCCGGCTGCGTACAAACGGAAACGAAGATCACTGTAGATCGTCAGGTTTCGTACGATGACTGGAATACCTTGATCTGTGTCAAATGCCTCCATTCTGATCGTCACAATGTCCTCCTGAAGTTCAGGAACATGCATCTGTACGAGCCGGTACCCAGTCGGCAGGTCCACCGTAGAGAGCTTTCTCACCATGTCGGTAAGAGATGCCACGTTCTCGGAACGAAACATGGATGCGGCCTGTTCCTCCCACAGTTCTCTTTGCAGCAGCCTTCGTGCTGTTGGAGTCGCGCGTATAGTGGGTCGTGGAGTCTCCTGTCCGCTCTCATTCCTGCAAAAGGAGAGAAATATTTCACTTAACAACTGCATTTAGCAACGGTTGCAAAATATATGGGAAACAAATTAGCATACATGGGTAATTTGGATTTTGGACATTGCCGGATAAATGCTATAAATTGATAAATGTAGCTCGGAACTTATATACACAAAAAGAAGTTGTATACAGTTATATACACAAAAAGAACAATTCAGCAGCATGTGCGACCCTTTTTAACCGCTATGTATGCATGCAGGTTAACAGTTCGGCCTACGGAGGTCATGTAAGGTCAGCTTGTAAGGTCGGGTCGGGTCAGAAAAGGAAAAGATTAAAATGTGCTGAAACCGACTCCAACTCCGGGCCGTCAGAGTTGTCTGGATCAAAAGTTATTCAAGAAACCATCAGAAGTAAAAACGAACATTTTTCTTCGGTTACCTCTGGTTGGTGACCCAGTTTTTGACCTGACCGAAAAATGACCGAAGTACTTTCTTACTGTTTTTTTTACCGTTCTTTCGAACGCCGCCTACCGCTTGTCTCTACGACGCCCCCCCCCCCGGCCCGCTGATGGGGCACCGGCCCGGCGCGGGTTAACGTCTGACATGATCACATTAATGACGTAACAGATCAAAGGTCATTTGAGGTAGAGTTCCCAAATTTTCACAGGTGTCAAAATGTAAAGACCATCCTCAACACCTAAGATGTCCTTAATACCTTACTAATGCCCATATTGCTTTGATGAGGTATAAACATATCAACTTACTTGTCCCGGGGTGGGAGCACTGTTGGAACTGCGGTTGGCTTGAGGCGCCGTCGCTGACGGTCGGTTCTTCTTGTCGTGGCAGTGACACAAAAGTCATCACTGGAAAAGTGGAGCTCACAAACCCCACCAATTTTAGGGTATGATTCTTTTACACCTCGTCTGATTGCTTCCAGCCACTTCTTTCGCAATGCACATTCGCGTGGAAAGCTAAATACCGATACCTTTCCCTTTCTCTTGTCACTTCCTCTCCGATGCCGTGTGATTCTATATCCAGAATAACAATTACGTACCGTACACTTCCGTGTCATCAAAAACCCTTTCAAAGGAAAATAGAAAAGATGGAAAATAGACAAATAAAATCATAGGCTAAATATCCTAAATGTGGCGAAGCCTTGCTTAATTTTAGGGCCTTGGCTTGATTGTGGCAGGATTTCCAGAAAATAAAGAATTTGCGTGCAACTCATTGGTGCTTATTTGCGGGAGATACCTCCGATATTCTCAGATATCATTTACCACTACTATTTTCATGAAAACTGTTATTGTTTTTAACGATTTTTTTGTTTATATCAAAATCAAAACATTTTTTTTTACTTAGGTACTAGACAGATAAAACTTCAAACAATATCCATGTTAAATTTTGCCAGGTTTGCAGGGTTCTTAATAAGTTAAAACTAGGTTCACTTTTGGGCCCCTTATGCTACTTCGGCCAGATCAGTGCACAGTCCATGTATAGAGAAGTTTGTGACCCTGCATATGGAAAGTTCTTTTCCAAAACATTGACACAAGTTTAAGTAAGCTAATTTTTCAGGAAGGAGTCTTTGTTGCATGTGAGCCATGCATGCAAGTCCTCAGTTAGCATGCATTCATGCCAAACGACAATCAACACACATGTTCCCAGCTTTTAGCTGCACTTCCATCACACATGAGTACCTAAAGAATAAAGGCTCATTTTGTTATTTTACCATTCTGGTTACTTTTTCTTACAAGAGTACAGAGCAGAAGTGTAACACACATGAACGGATAGCAGGCACTGCTGGGTGGTCCGTCTTACCCCACGTTTTTCCTTGTCTGAATTTTTGACATGTCCCTCTTTAAGAGCATCCACCACCTAAATGTCTTCAATTTGAAATTTAGTCTTTACACAAATCAACAGAGGAAGGATTGAGCACTCCGAAGACGTTAAATAATATGAATTACGAGAGCAGTGTAGCAAGATATGCGGCCTCAAACCTTAGCTGGTCCGTCTTACCCCACCTTCCCCTACCTGGGTCATTAACTCCATATGGTCCAAGAAAGCTGGCTATACCTTTAACCCGCGCCCTGCGGGGGGGGGGGGTGTTTGAACACCCCCCTTGTGGTTTTTCGTGAATATCTCAAAAACGGCGGCGCGGAGCTCCGCCGTTTTTGGTACACCTTATCATACATCAATTCTACACATGTTGTGAAAATTTCAGACCAAGGTCATTCAAGGTCAGGCCACCAGGTCACTTGAAGTGATCTCACCTCATAAAAAAGTTTCAATGTCTGTCATAGCTACACCGAGTGACCGATCGCTTTGAAACTTTCAGCGATTGCTAAGAGCAAGAGCATGTACAAAATGTATATCTCAGAATTTTGATATCGATGACCTAAGGTCAGGTCAATTTTGCGACCTCCCCATTATAAGTCAATGGGAGAAAATTGAAATGCGCTTCTTTTGGACGAAAGACATTATAAACACTCCCAAACACCGAATTACAAGTGGTTTAGACACACTGAACATGAAAATGGTGTCCGTGACCCTTGTTTATGCCCTGAGGTCATCTTAGGTCACGAATGGTATCTAACAGTTTTTCGCAAATAACTTTTGATAGAGGCATGCTAGAGCGATGAAAACGCCTTAGCTGTGTTCAGCTCGAAGATACGGATCGACTGATGTGCAACATGACCCTTTCCGGTCAGGTCATGACCTTGACCCGAGGTCAAATTTTCAAGTTGACCTTTCAAGGTCAAGTTATAGTTCATTCGATGCGTCTTGACGAGAGGAACACGATGCTGGTAAAAGTAAGCTCGTACAAGGCTTGGGTCAAAAATTATTGCAGAAAAACTGTTTCCGAAAATATCGGCTATTTTTGCAGTTTTTGCCCCCTGCAGGCAAAACCGTTGACGTTAGGTCAAATCTGAGAGAATTACTCAGAAAGGGCGTTAATAGGGCTATCGAATGCGCTTTTCCGCGGCGCTGTAGCTCTATTGGTTCCCGAGTTATGCGTTGGCTTCTTGGAAATTTTCGATATTCGACCTGGAAATCGGCGAAATTTTGCCTTCAATGACCTCTGGTGACCTGAACTTTGACCTGACCAAAAAATTGACCGAAGTGATTTCGTCATCATTTTTTACGCTCTTTCGAACGCCGCCTTCCGTGTATCGCTACGTGGCCCAGGAGCCGAGTTACAAGGGGGGGGGGGGGGGGGTGTTCAAACACACCCCCCCCCCCAGCAGGGCGTGGAAATCCAGGACCCCCAGCCGGGCGCGGGTTAACAGCGATAATTATCGTTTATCGTTTATCGCTCATCCTATCGCATGCGGAAACCACTGTCCGATGTCAAAGGCAATCTTCCTGACCTCATCCAACGCATGGAATCTACCCTCTCCGCCTTGTCTGCTTGGTTCCATGCCCATGGTTTACTCAACGCATCCTAAACTGAAGTCCTCCTCCTCGGCACCCGTCAGAACACCCGTAACCTGCCCCCTGTCAGCGTACGGGTCGGTGGTGGGACTGTTCGGGAGAGCCGGACAGTCAACAACCTAGGCGTGCTGTTTGACCGTCACTTGAGTTGGGACGCACACGTCAGTGATGTGGTTCGCCACTGTACCGGCCTCCTGATCGGTCTCCGCCACCTGAGACATTTCCTCCCGCAGCACGTAGGTACTGAAAACTATTGTTGAGGGGCTGGTCATCTCGCGTGTGAGATACTGCATATTCGTTTACGGAAACGGTTCTGCAGAAAAATGCACCAGACTTCTCAAAATTATTAACTTCGCTAATCGCTACAAGAGTTATTACCGGCCTCAAAAAGTACGACCACGTGTCTCGCGCGCGGGATGACCTGCACCTCACATCGGCCTCTGCACGGTTCGTCGGAAGGTCATCTCAGGCTCAAAAGAAACGATACATACCATTCGAAAGCTGACGGTGAGCTGAATCAAAAAATGTAATTTTTATCAAAAACGATCGATGGCCTTTTTTGAAAATTGCGTTTTTGTAAAAACTTAATAATCTTTTATTCAACGGGCTGTCCCGGACATTCTTGAAAACATAAACATGTATTTTTGAGTTCCAGTGAAAGCTGAACGCCAAAAGAACAATATTTAGCGAAGCAATATTTCCAAACATTAATATGCGTCTCCCACAGCCGACAATAAGGCGCAATCTCACAGCTCAGTGTCACGATGGACCAAAGTTAGCCACACAGAAGCGTGAAATGACCCTTATCGACTCGCAGACCCGGCGCTCTAGGCCCGCCTGACCGGCCACGGAAAGAACGCTCGTCATATTTGTTATATTAACGTCATATTTGAACGTATGTCATATTTGTCAGTTTAACTGTCCACATCGCTATTAAAAGTTATTCAGGATACCTGTGAAGAAAATTCATTGTTCTGCTTGATTTACAACATGCTTTAATTTACATTTTTCTTACACATGTTTTGTTCCATCCAGCTGCGATCAGTGCCCGCGCAGGGGACGTGAGCGGGGTTTCACTGTCAGAGGCTGTACTGGTGACAGCTGCTCGGCCGTGCGACCGGTCAAAGGTTACCCTGCCCCGCCGGACGCTGCCCCCACTCCACCCGAACTGAGGCCGGTGCAACCTCTGACATTTCAGCTTGGCCAATTTTCCTTATATGGGCATGATACCAAGCTCAATTGAGCAAAGTAGACATGAACAAATGCAAATTAATGCTTGATGTGAAGATGACAGAACAATGAATTTTCTTCACAGGTATCCTGAATAACTTTAACCCGCGCCCGGCTGGGGGTCCTGGATTTCCACGCCCTGCTGGGGGGGGGGGGTGTTTGAACACCCCCCCTGCCAACTCGGCTCCTGGGCCACGTAGCGATACGCGGAAGGCGGCGTTCGAAAGAGCGTCAAAAATAACGACGAAATCACTTCGGTTAATTTTTTGGTCAGGTCAAAGGTCAGGTCACCAGAGGTCATTGAAGGCAAAATTTCGCCGATTTCCAGGTCGAATGTCGACAATTTCCAAGAAGCCAACGCATAACTCGGGAACCAATAGAGCTACAGCGCCGCGGAAAAGCGCATTCGATAGCCCTATTAACGCCCTTTCTGAGTAATTTTCTCAGATTTGACCTAACGTCAACGGTTTTGCCTGCAGGGGGCAAAAACTGCCAAAATAGCCGATTTTTTTCGGAAACAGTTTTTCTGCAATAACTTTTGACCCAAGCCTTGTACGAGCTTACTTTCACCGGCATCGTGTTCCTCTCGTCAAGACGCATCGAATGAACTATAACTTGACCTTGAAAGGTCAACTTGAAAATTTGACCTCAGGTCAAGGTCATGACCTGACCGGAAAGGGTCATGTTGCATATCAGTCGATCCGTATCGTCGAGCTGAACACATCTAAGGCGTTTTCATCGCTCTAGCATGCCTCTATCAAAAGTTATTTGCGAAAAACTGTTAGATATCATTCGTGACCTAAGATGACCTCAGGGCATAAACAGGGGTCACGGACACCATTTTCATGTTCAGTGTGTCTAAACCACTTGTAATTCAGTGTTTGGGAGTGTTTATAATGTCTTATGTCCAAAAGAGGCGCATTTCAATTTTCTCCCATTGACTTATAATGGGGAGGTCGCAAAATTGACCTGACCTTAGGTCATCGATATCAAAATTCTGAGATATACATTTTGTACATGCTATTGCTCTTAGCAATCGCTGAAAGTTTCAAAGCGATCGGTCACTCGGTGTAGCTATGACAGACATTGAAACTTTTTATGAGGTGAGGTCACTTCAAGTGACCTGGTGACCTGACCTTGAATGACCTTGGTCTGAAATTTTCACAACCTGTGTAGAATTGATGTATGATAAGGTGTACCAAAAACGGCGGCGCTCCGCGCCGCCGTTTTTGAGATATTCGCGAAAAACCACAAGGGGGGTGTTCAAACACCCCCCAGCAGGGCGCGGGTTAATAGCGATGTGGACAGTTAAACTGACAAATATGTCATGTGTTTAGTAGAACGAGAGCCGAACGTTCTTTCCGTGGCCGGTCAGGCGGGCCGAGAGCGCCGGGTCTGCGAGTCGATAAGGGTCATTTCACGCTTCTGTGTGGATGACTTTGGTCCAT